AGCAATTATAAAAATAAGAACCAAAGTTAATATAAAAATTAAATTTTAAGAGATGCAATTGAAAAATAAATATTCAAAACAAAATATATATATAACAATAAAAAACTTAAGGATCAAATTTGATATAATTAGCAAATAATGACATTTTTAAATTTTTCACAACTTCCGGAAAGTGTTTTTCACTTAATTTTTCACAAAAACACTTTTCTGAAAACCAATTAAAATTTTTCTATTAACCAACTTTTCTAATGGTAAACAAACACGAGAAGTTTAAAAAGAAATTTTTCAGAAACTACGTTCCGGTAAACAAACATGGCCTAAAATATGTTATTTTATTATTATTATTTAAATCTAGAAATAATATTATTTTGATAAAAAAAATAACTTAAAATACCAAGAAAGAGGCTAACACTGTTGGGAGAGATTACTATAGCTACGAACTTACTTACATTATTCATTGAAATAGTAATGATTTCTTTGCTTCTCCAATAAAAAAATTTATAACTATCTATTAGCGACTTTAAAGTATTTTCACGGGGTGCACAGTCATTTTCAAATTGTTTAGAGAAAGAGTGAAATACTCTTAAAAGTAAAAATCTCAATAATGCCATTAAGGGGCTACTTCCAAAAAAATAAATAAAAATTTCTCAATATTATCTTGAGAGGTAATATTTCATCCTTGGTCATATATATATATATAATTGAAAATACTGTGAACTATTGGAAGTCAAAAAATTCAAACTGGTATCATGGATTTTTTCATCTTTTCCTAGGGATTTTTTTTGTTATTATCATGTCATAGACAATTTAATATTTGGCTAAATAAAAAAACAAGAAAAAAAAATAATAGTGGCATGTAATGCACTCATCAACACATGAAAAGTGCTTGTATTTTTTGGACGGTGCTCATAACATATGTTAGCATCTAAAATATTATTTTATTAATGTTTTTGGAAGCATTATCATCTCTTCTATATTTTTGGTGCAACATAAGTTTCTAATGATACTTTAGTTTGGTGTCGGTATATTTTTTTCTTTTCTCCCCCCTTCAAAAAAATAAAAAAGCTCTCTTAGTTGTTAATATTAGTTTAGTTTTTATTTTTTTATTTTTTATTTTTTATCTAGACCTTTTTATAAAAATTTTATTTATTTTTAATTTTATTCTCCGATCACAATTTATCAAATATTAAAATTTTCAATTTCATCCTTATTCTTTGGATTTTTTTCCCTAGTATTTTTGTAAAAGTTCTATTGATTTTTAATTTCAAATTTTAATTCAAATTGATAGTATTGTGTTTTTTAATTTGTTCTTTATTGCTTTGATTTTTAATTTTTTCTTAACTCTTTTATAAAAGTTATTATTCTTTTTAATTTCATCTTTTAATCAAACCGTTGTTTTTTATTTTATGTCAATTTTAATCATCATTCTTTTGAATTTTTTTGTCTTTTAGCTAAATTTGTTTTTATTTTTATTTTTAATTTCACCCTTCAATCAAATATAAAATTTATTTTTTAATTTTAATTATTATTTTTTAATCTTTTAGTATAATAAAAATTCTAATAACCCACGTTTCAGGTTTGAAAAGTTAATATATTTTTTTTAAAAAAAACTTATCATTTTTTTATCAAGTTATTTTATTTTCATGATTTGAATCATGAATTTAATAAAATATTCTAAATTGACTTGATCCTAATTAACATAATTATAAATTTATTATGTTAACATAGGTTAACCAATATTAAATACTTATGCAAGGAATGTTATTCAACAAATATTTTTGGGGTATAATAATATTCCTTTCAAGCACATCCCACC